GTCCTTCGTGAGCAGCGCACGGGAACCCGACAATCCACCCTCAATCCGAACCTCCTTCACGGACGAAGACGCCCGGGTCATCCGCCTGTGGGCGAGAAAGTTGGACGGTTGGCTGATCAGGTATAACAGGACATCGCGTGAGTGGACACCCCCATCCCCTTCCTTAATCCTTATCATTAAGACACGTCCCTGGACAAAACTCAAAACGCTGCAATCGACTTACCCACCGGCTTACCCAAATCCAGAGCGAACCCCCTCCAACCGCCAAGGCATCCTCATCCTCCTCCAATACCACCTGCACAAGCTTTACGTGCTGTCGATCTACCACCCAGCACGGGGCTTCGATCTAGGCTCTTCAGCGGATATCGCCCCGGCCGAGAGACACGAGTTGCTGGTGTCCGCTCGCGCGGTGGTGCGGTTGCGGTTGGATGACTCGAGCATCTGGTCGAATTGGGACTTGATCGTACGGTCCCCCTTACAACCACCTTCCCCTCAAAAAAACACACATGAGACACACCAAACAAATATCCGAACGAAGACGAATAACATACATAGATGATCACCTTCGCGGCTATGCTACTTCTCCGCGGCATCGAGGACGGTATGTCCCACCCAGACGGTACGTTTTCTTTCGTGACAAATTCTCCAATCCAGTCATCTGATCATGGATTCATCCTCGAAACACCCTCGACGAAAAAGAAAAATAGCTGCTAATGCATCTCCACAATCTGTGCTTATGAGTCAGACCGCTACCTAATCGAGAAACACATCGCCAAGCTGAACTCAAGCCATCCGTCCATTCCAAGCATCCACCACGTCCTGGCGGAGCGCCTCGAATCCAATCTGCAAGCGATGCACACGCCGCCGGAGGTAGCGTTGAATGTCGGCTTCCCGCCGCCTGAGTCCGAGGCCGGGGACTACTCCTGGGCCATTTTTGACCAGGAGATCTTGTCGCTGGCGAATCCGCCGTGGTTATTTGAGGATATCCCCGCCGGCGGCGGCGGCGGCGCGGACCAGATGCAGAAACGCGCGGACCAGTTCGTTTCACCGGACGGGGTGGCTATGGGTGGCGGTGGTGCTGGTGTTGGGGTTACGGAAGGTGGATATCATCTGTGATGGTGCATGTTGGTTGTGCATGCAAATGAAAGATGGTAAAGAACATGAAATTGTGGGTTACGAGCGGGATTGTTTTACCAGAACAACATGATTCATATACCGCACGGCTTAGGCAGCTGGTTCCCTAAGCAAAGGCCCAATGTCTCGTAAGTCATTTCATATTACATATTCCAATAATACTATAGATAATCTTGAGTAACTGCGTATGTGGCAAAGAATTATTAACCTAGTACCCAAGGTTTGACCCGCAAACCGTGATGGGCGACAGTGTGTCCTTTGACTTGCGTTGGGAGTAGCACAACCTTGAAGCAGTCATGTTCAATGGGGTTTAGGGTCAGTGGCTTATGCTGAATCATGGTCATTGTTCTGGCCATGGGAGCCGCTATTTGGTGATGCAACCATCGTATCGTGGGTTTCGGGTGTTGTAGGGAAAGGCGGGAATGGTTCGGTTTGTGAATTGTCTTCGGTTGTTATGGACAGTGGCCGTGATTCAGAACGACCATTATGATCTCGTATAGGAGGGTCTTCTGCTGGTGACCCAGGCGTGGACTGGTGAGTGTCTTGGTGGGTTACATCTGATGACGTGCCATGATTCGCCGATGGAGAAAGCTAGTGAAATGGAGTTAGAGCATAGTTCTGAAGACCGCGCAAGGCAGAAACTGCCAACGACTAACCTGATGATCAAGACCACGGTTCGATGCCAACTGCTGTGCGGCCAGCCGTTTCCGTGCAATCTCCGATTCTTCTTCATATGCCGCCTGCTCCTCCTCCTTCTTGAGATCGGCTAATGAAGGCGTGCTATCATCACGGGTGATATCTACGTAGGACTCCTGCGGGGAACGAAGCCGGCTGCTCCGCTGGTTCTTCTGCTTCTTCTTGGAGGCCTTGGACGAACTGGTGGTCCCCAGACTAAACGTTCCGGACGCGGACCGCATGCTCGCCGGCTTATCCCCGATCATGTCGATCGAGTCCAATCCCGTTCCTCGACGGCTGCCCAAAGCCATGGCGAACTCATCATCCAACGGCACAGCATCCTCTTCGTCATCGCTGGGAATCAAATCCCCGCGCGAACTCAGCGAGTTCGTGGTCTCCCGCGACGACTGGGTCGAACTCCGATACCGGCCTTTGCTTCCGGACGGCTGGGCATCGTAATCCTCGGCGGCCTCCATGAGCGGCTCATCCTCGTAGACGTGCCTCCGCAGTCCCCCCGCAGGATGTTCCTGCAGATCCGCCGCCGAGGGACGGTATTTCAGTCCGCGCGCTCCGAAGCGCCAGGGGAACCGCTCGAGGAATCCCAGGAACGAGGAGCTGGGGATGACGGTTGGGTCATTCCGTTCATCTTGGGCCAGAGCCGTGCTCTTCCGACGGACACGCCGCGTCCCGTAGCTCATCCGTCTCTGCCGGCGAGGCTGCTCGGCACCGCCACGGGCCAAACCACTGCCAGCCAGCAGGCGGTCGAGTTCATCGGTGCCCCATCCCAACAGCCCAGCATTTGAGTCCTCGTTGTCCCAATCGTCATAGAAGTCAAAGTTAGCTTCCGCGCGGCCGCGTCGGCGCCGACGCAGCTGGTCCTCCCGGGTCGGAAGACAGGGTGCCGTGCAGCTGTAGACGCAGTTGCCGATGGCCGTGAAACATGGCAGGATATAGTTGTGAGAGAAGGTGTAGAGGCCCTCCTGGGCGGTCTCGTTTGCGGATTCAAGGTTGTGGGAGATTTGATTTATCCTCTGGCGGACTCGAGGGTCCTTTGATCGCATCATGGTGTTAAACCGGGGGCGGGTTTGGGTAGGGCGTGGGAGGTACTAGGTAAGGGACAACGGTTGCTGGCTTAACGTCTTGAACTAATTGTTGTCATGCCACAGCCGAGGGGTAAATAATGATAAGGCTCAGATCACTTTCAATCAACCAACTGGCCCCATCAAGTCCGCGCGACGATGATGGGGGAGAGACTGAAACAGTGAAGTCGGCAGTCGGTTGATAGGTAGAGACCGCATTGGTGGAAAGAGAGGTGAGCTCTCAGAGATCAGAGATCAGAGAAAGACACAACGAATAACCAAAGCAACCAACCAGCCGACCCATGGGAAATGGATAGGAATGGCAGCCTGAGGAAGAAATGAAGACGCCGATGTCATCGTTCCCGCTCCTTAGTCAGCACCAAAGGTCCAAGCACGTGCCGTACGGTCACGGGTCACGGGTCGCCTTCCTGTTCGGGATGGGCATCTCCAATCTGTTCGGATGCAGTTCAGGAATTATTCTTCATGATCATGGTTTATTATATTCGATTCCTAAAAACCCCCAGGTTTGCCAAGCAGAAAGGTGCTGTATCAGTCTCCGCGCTGGTCTGCATCACTACCGATCTCGGGGATGCCTTCCTCACTCAAGATGTGGATTTGCATGTGACCCTGGTCGCTCATGGCACAGGAAAGGTCCTGTATCAGGAACCCATAACATGGAACGCAGGCAAGCGTGAAGTACCAATATCGCTGGGACCATTTCCCGCCAACCTGTCTCAATACACAGTCGTGCTTGCAGTATCCCCTGCCAATTCCGCCAAGCTGCAGGCACCGTTACCAGACTCACTCATTGGAAAGTCCGAATGTCCGCTAGTTGTATCAGGCTGGAGTGCTCCGTTTGGCGGATCACAGACTTTAGTAGCGGAGAAGCTCGTTGAACGACGCTTTGGGCCAGATGACAAGCTCGGCCTCCGAATCTGGGAAGAAACCGGGAACAGTATCGCCCGGCATATCTGGTGAGACACCTCTTTATCCAAGGGGGCTATTGTTCTCAGCTAACTCTCATATGTCCCAGGGATGCAGCGGTAGCGTCAGTTGTCTATCTTCAGAAGATAGTTGCTGGAGACCCAGAGATCTCTGCGCCACTGTTGCAAGCGCTTCTTCGAGGATCGCGCAACGGCCCGCTTCACATCATTGAACTGGGTTCTGGATGTGGCATTGTAGGAATCGCGCTGGCAGAGCTTCTTCCCGAGTGCTCTGTCACGCTCACCGATCTTCCTGAGGTCGAAGAAATTGTGACGAAGAATATTGCGGTTGCGCGACCTGCCAAGTCCTCGGCACTCCAATTCCAAACTCTGGACTGGGATGAGCCTCTTCCAGAAGATATATGCGGTGGCTCCATTGACCTGATCCTTGTCTCAGATTGTACCTACAATGCGGACAGCTTACCTGCGTTGGTCTCGGTACTAAACCGCTTGCTGCAGATGTCGCCGGATGCAGTCATCCTGGTGGCGTTGAAGAGACGACACGAAAGTGAAACCGTCTTCTTTGATCTCATGCGGTCGGCAAATATCTGCAGTCTGCATCTGGCTCACATGCAGCTTCCATCCGAGCATGATCAACAGGATCAGATTGAACTACATTGCTTTGGGCGAGAGGGAAGGCATCAGGGCTGACGGCAATACGCGTTGTCGCTATTGCTTTCTCTGGCCTCCGTGGCACTTATAGACAGGGTTAAATCACCTCCAGGTAAGGATGCTTAAAGGCTAAGAAGCTACTTCTCGAGCCTCCTGTTCGAGCCATCCAACCGCAAGGCATCTTGCCTTCATTGGTGAGGCGATCTAACTCATCATTGATTCTCATGTGCTTCGCGACCTGACGATTCTCAAGACCGCTCATTCGCCCGTTGAACGACCAAAAGCACACCTAATCACTTGATAACTGGTGGACTAGATGTTCCATACTACGGGAATCAAAAATCACTTGCGGATTCTAAGCAATGGCCTGGACTCGATGAAAAATCATACCGAAGACTATTGATCACAGTCTCAGTGAGCTGTCATCTTACTTGGCCTTTCAATTAATGGGAATCACTTGGGGGAACTACCTGGTCAACCTCTAATAATTCATTCTTGTCTGCCATGTGAACGTAGTTACAATATGAGATCTGACACTTCCAAGTGCTGGCTCGACCTGTCCTCGTTGCTGAGTTGCTGCCAGTCAACTACTGTGCTTCAGTCCAGTGCGAGCAACCCCATTTCAAGGCGTCGAATAATTTGGAGCAAACACGACATCTAGCATGAATGAAGCTGTGTTCATAACCTTTCATGACCAGCTCTCTCGGGTCTTTCCCTAATGGAGGCTTTCTATCGCATTCACAAATAGTACCACGAATGCGAATGACCTCGGATCACGCAAGTCCAAGCAGTTTCCTGAATCTATGGCTTGCAGAGGAGGCAGGTTTTGGATCTGGCTCAGTGGGTTGCGGTTGCGGATCAACCGCTGCGGGTATACCTAGACATTGTGACTGGCGATTACGTCTAGCTTTCAGATTGGAAAGGTTCAGATTGGACAGGAGGGCTCCGACATGAAGGTCGAGGGGCACATAATCAGCTTCGACGCACTCCGGCAACACCTTGTTGAGCGTATCGGATACTACCTCTGGAAGTCGGTTATGCAGTCGGTCAGACTGAGCCAGCTGCATACTATCAATGAGGCTGCACGAACGAGGAGGCGGCATCACAGGGAGTCCGTTTCCTGGAAATCTCGGAGCACTAGGGTCGCGAAGATCATGTTCGATGCATCTTCGATTGAAAGCACAGAAGTTCGCTACAAGTGTCACTGCGCAGAGAGGCACGAATGCAAGGCTCATTGGCTGGGCATTGGCCGTCTCGTTGGATTTTGCGGCGGAAGGAAACGAAGCACTGGCACAAAGAGCCCACAAATCGGCATACAGGCGGCAGACGACCAGGATTTCTCCGGCCACGAGCTCAAGCTCATCCCATCTCGGCTGCACGTGGTCGGATATGGTAAAGGATGGGTTGATGCACAGAACCAGGGATCCCTCCTGGATCGACCATATCTCGTCTAGGCCTAACCGCATGTCCCTGCACGACTGCAGGCGGGCGCAACCATTCCGCTTGGCCAAGGGTATCGAGCTCTGCAACAGATATCGACTCGGGGTCGGCGAATGCGAAGCCCTCTTCCGGGCCGGGGAAATGATCGATTCGCGACTTGAACCAGGATTGAAGGGGATCTGGGGTGTCGATATATGCTATGCCAAAGTCAGATTTGGGGCACTGCTGTGAGTGGTTCGATGGGTGGTGTTACACTTGGGGCTCTTCGCTCAGAGTCCTGCATCTTTGCTTGTGCTCGCTGGGCTTGGTTTTCGTATTCATGCATGGGAGATTTATGCTTGCAGGAAGCCATTATGGATGGACTGGGAAATGGGGAGAGATGGTTGACAATCGTCGAGGGACGGCAAGAGCGACCCAGAAGTATGACTGCAACTGCTTGCTGCTTCTGCTTATCGAATGATCCGGAGTTGTTGAGTCCCCCATCCTACATATGCTTGGGGTGCTTCATCCAGCATTCAGGCTTACATACTCGCATGCCCTCTGACTTATACTCCAGCATTTGAGTATACACTCATTCACAAAATAGTAAAGACAAGAATGGCCTAATAGCTCGGTGTGCTTGCTTGCATGTGTGTTTTCCTGGAATCTGATTTCGCATAATGCTTACTTCGAAATGCATGGGGGATTTTAGAAACGCTGACCCGATTGGGCTCAATTTTACGTGACCCCATGCATTCTCATGAGAACGCTTGTAGAGCTTATACTTGTGCTCTGCAGATGCCCCGAATGCACCGCAACCCAACACGACTAATCAACACCAACAACCTCGGCTTGCGGGCGCTGAGTCAGCCGTGCGGAGGAGAGCATGACTGCCGGCCTGCCTTTGACCGACCGACACTTATAGCTATGAATATCTCAACCATAGACCCAAAGAAATAAAAACAATTCTCCACCCTCAGATATCTACCTAAGCAACCAGTCAGATCCACAGAATGTCCGCGCCCAGCATAACACTCTACATAGACACCGTCAGCCCCTTCGGGTATATCGCCTTTCACGTCCTCCGAGTACGTATCGCCCAAGAACTATAAACCACCTCCGAACTAACCACACGACCTAGAACTCCCCCATCTTCGCCAACTGCAAGATAACCTACATCCCCATCTTCCTGGGTGGTCTGATGCACGCCTGCGGAAACACTCCACCCGTGGAGATCAAGAGTACGTACGCCTACGCCTACGCCATAATCTATAGCATCCCCCCCCCCCCCGGAGGGCACCCCCACTAACATAACCATGTGTGGGCTACCCAGATAAATCCGCCTGGATCAACCGCGAGCGCACGCGCTGGGCGACCTACTTCTCAGTGCCGATCATCCCGACCCCACCCCCGGGCTTCCCGCCGCGCACGCTGCACACGCAACGGGCGCTGGCCGCCGTCGCGCAGTTCGCCCCGACGCAGTACGAGGCCGTGCAGGAGGCGTTCTACCGGACGTTCTGGGTGGAGGGGGACGGACGGATCGCGGAGCCGGGGTGTTTCGTGCCGGTTTTGGAGCGGGTGTTGGGGGCGGAGGTGGCGGGGCAGGTGGTTGAAGCTGTAAGCTCCTTTTCCCCCCTTGACCATGGACTATCTCCCCTCCGGAGAATACTCAGGAAAAAGACAGCTGATAAACGAGTAGATGCAAACGCCCGCGATCAAAGCGCAGCTCACCGCCAACACGGACCGGGCCTTCCAGGCCGGGGCGTTCGGGGTGCCCTGGTTCGAGTGCACGAATGCGCAGGGCGAGACGGAGGGGTTCTTCGGGGTGGATCATCTGGGCCAGGTGGCGGAGTTCCTGGGGCTGGATCGGCGGGGGGAGTCGGGGATGCGGGCTTTGCTGTAGCGTAGCGTAGCGTCGCCGTAGCTTTCGAGCAGAACAGCTTGAGGCTTGTGAGTAACTATGGGAAGTAAAAGCGGGGGGTCGATATTCATCACAATCCCATTGATCTGTACACAACACACAGCAAAGACAAAGAAAACAGGCTTAAGCGCGATCAATCAATTAACTTCTTGAATGCAAAACAATGGACCCGTGACAATCACGGCTACTGCCGCGGCGGCGGCTGCTCCTTACGGTGGTACTTCTTCTCCAGATCCGTCTTCGTCCGCGTCCTTTCCTGCAGAAACTCCACGATCCGTTCCTTCTCCAGCGCGTCGATCCGGCGCATCTCCTCGGGGTCGGCGGCGCCTCGGTCCTCCTCGCCTGCATTCATCCATCCAAAAGCAACCGGGTCAGCAAGCCCAACTCGACAACACGCAGCTCACGCGCGCGCAGATATCTTCCGTGGAACCAAAAACTCACCATCCCCCTCACCCGCACCCCCGGCTAACCCAGGCACATACTCGCGTACCCGCTGCATCGCCTTCCCGACCAGCTCGCTCTCGTACGCCGCGTTCAGCATCGTCCGCACCTCCTGCATCGAGGTACTGGCCACCTCGGTGATTTTCTCGGGGGGCGGGAGGATTCCCGAGGACGAGGACGTGGATGTGGATGTGTTTGTCGTCGTGGACGTGGTTGAGGTGATAGAGGTCGGGTCGGAGGGGGTATGCTGCGGCTGCGGCTGCTGCTCTAGCGTTTGGGTTTGGGTTTGGGCTGGCAGCTGCAGCTCGCGTTCTCGCTCTTGTCGTTGGCGTTCGAGGAGGTCTTCTTCGTGGGGGGGCACGCAGCCGAGGTCGCGGGCGGTGTCGTCGATAGTTTTCATTCTTGAGCACAAGAGCACAAGATCACAGTAACAGGTAATAGAAAAAGGATGATGAATTAGGAATGTTGTTCGGGGTCCAGCACAGTCCAAAGGCACAGGGTTGAGATACAGTACAATCTAAGGATCAAGCTAAGGTGGGAAATCAAAATAAGAGAGAGGGAAATGAGGAAGTTGACATGGTCTGGTCTAGATCAAACAATCATTCTTCCGGAAATCGGCTGTAGCCTGGTAGGGCTGGAGATGACATCAAGCGGGTAACTAAAACGGATGATATCATCGGGGGGGGGGGGGGGGACTTTGGCCGGGTAACTCTGCACTGGTGCAGTCAACTTTCAGCCCTGTGGATCAATCAGGTTGGGATTTCCATGCCTCGACGGCGGGGATTATCGGGCTGGTTTTGTGTTCACTTCTCTTATTGTTCTTGACAGGACGCTTGGAAGGGCATAATTCCTACTACTGTGTTGTAGGGTGAACTCGATTTACATACGAGCAGGCAGCGGGTGGTTGTATGGTGCTTTGTCTATCATGAAGCGCTACGATTACTTGGCAGATGTCTCACACTTCACAGCAAAACGAAAGGCCAGCTTGAAAGCATACCATCACTCGAAACTTAACTTAGCCGTTGAGCATCACGCCACCTAGCCCTTTTTTCAGGGGTCATGTTAACAACTGGGAATTACCACGGCCGATCACTTCATGTCCGAAGAGACTGCGGCACCGTATTCTTCCGCACACTGATATACAGTATATCGTACAAAGTCGTGATTGAAACAGCCTCTACAGTCCCCTCGTAGCCAATCCATTACTTCCAAGATGGGCTCACAAAAGAATCATCTACTAAGTCAAAGCCAGTTGACTTAGGGTTCTTACCAATCCAGACTAGCGCCACCCCCTCGCAGCCCCTCCGCCACCGCCGAATTCTGCCGTCCGAAATCAACCATCCGCACTGCACTCTCTTATCTTCTTTCGCCTTCTCCACTCGATCAATCACTCACTCACTCACCCACTCACCCACTCTCTCTATTTTTCCCCTCATTACACTTATACTTATACACTTATAGACTTACCTGTTCTAGAGCTCTACATTCCTTCCTAGTAAAATGCCTTCAATCCCCATCACCATCGTCACCGGCTTCCTCGGCTCCGGCAAGACCACCCTCCTCCTCAACCTCATCCCGCAACTGCCCGCGACCTACCGGCTCGCGCTGCTCAAAAACGAATTCGGCGACGTCGCCGTCGACTCCCAGCTCGCCTCCACGCAGTCCATCTCCGGGGTTCGCGAGCTCCTCAACGGCTGCATCTGCTGCAACCTCGTCGGCCAGCTGAGCGACGCGCTCGAGCAGCTCCGCACCGAGGTCCGCCCGGACCGCATCGTGATCGAGACCAGCGGGAGCGCCTTCCCCGCCACCCTGGCCATGGAGGTGAACCGCCTGGCGCGCGAGAACCCGGGGACCTTCGTCCTGGACGGGGTCATCAGCGTCATCGACGTAGAGAACTGGGAGGGGTACGAGGACACCTCCTACACGGCGAAGCTGCAGGCGAAATACACGGATCTGATCATCTTCAACAAGTGGGAGAATGTGTCGGAGATGCGCTTCGACATCTGCCTCGACCGGGTCGGGGACCTCGAGGTCCCCACGCCGTGGGTTAAATCCGATCGCGGTAAGGTCGACAAGGATGTTCTGCTGGGGATTGACGGGGCGTTGTTCGCCAAGGAGGAGCATCGTCATGATGACCATGACCATGACCATGATCACAACCATGATCACCATGAGCACAAGGACGATCATCAGTCCGAGGTGGAAGTCCTCTCCGTCAACCTCAAGTCCACCGATGCCACCGTCGTCGACATCCCGGCTCTGGAGCAGCTCCTTCGCTCCGCCTCCAAGGAAGAAGTCTATCGCATCAAGGGCATCATGCGGTGTTCGACCAGCGCGCCTCCCGCGGAATCCTCGGAAGATCAAGCCGCCGTCACGCCCGCTCCCGCTTCGGCCAACGGCCCCGCCACCCGTTATTACATTCTGAATTGGGCTTTCGGTCGCTGGACCTTCACACCATCGGACGTCGTCGCTGAGAACGCTGACCCCGCCGTGGTAGCCCGGATTACGTTGATTTTGGCTCGCTATGAATCCGCCAAGTGGAAGAAGAAGCTCGAAGCCGGGGGCCTTGTACAGGTTGCTGGATCCCACGATGCCGAGTTGGTTGTGGAGCGATTGCTCTAAAGCTTCCGACATGCAATCTATTTACCTTCTTTTACCTACCATATACAGCGCGCAGGGGCTGGCTCCTGGGCGTGATGACTGTTTTGGAACTAGATCTCAGTTTCTTTTCGATTTAGATATTTGGCACATGACTTTTATGACGGAGGACGAAACGACTGAAGGGTTGCGGCGGAAGCTTTCGGTTCTATGATAGTTAGACTTGATTCCCAGAAGAATGATAGACGACTTCTAGAGGTTGGAAAGGAAGGGCCAGAAGCATAGCAGTAATGAACGAAATATAATCAATCGAACGAGCAGGTGCGAACCTTCCACATGGCTGTGTTTGAACACACACCGGGGAAAAACACTAAATACAGACTTCTGCTAAAGTTCAAGCTCCCCCCAGGAGTCCCCCTTGCATCTACTCTATTAAAGAAAAACATGGATAAGTTATAATCAAGACAAGCGCGCTGCGAAAGCAGCACCGGTTGCTTGATAAAAGACAAAGACAAGTGTGCATTCAATCCAAGAAAACGCAATGATCAGAGACAGAGATAAAAACACCTAGTACTCGAGGAGAGCAGAAGCTCCAGCCTCGCTGGAGATATAGATCACCTCGTGGTTGTCCGAGAAACCATTGAAGCGGGTCGCGCTACACTTGGTGTAGGCTCCCATATCCTCAAAGTACAGCCAATCACCTACGTTCAGGAGGGCCGGAAGGTTGATGCGCTTGCTGATGACATCGATGCCATCGCAGGTCGGCCCCCAGATAGAGTAGGCGATGCCCTCCGAAGTCGCAGCATTCGGAGGATTGACATCAGGGTCGCAGGTCAAGACCTGAGCCACAGGGTGCTGATGGTCAAAGATGATGTTGGAAAAGTTTCCATACACCCCGTCATTGAGATACAACATGTACGCATCCTGCGTCGGGTTCTCGGGGTCCCGCACGTCACGACGAGCAATCACATTGGCAGCCAAGGTGAAGGCGCTGGCAACGTAGTAGCGGCCGGGCTCGGCAATGACACGGATGTTCGGCGGGAAGTAGACTTCCAGAGCGTCACTAAGAACGCCAGCGAACTTTTCGAAGGTATCCTGGCTGAAACCTCCACCAACATCGAGAGTGTGAAGCTCGTGGCCTACTTCAGCGGCTTGGTCGAAGACCAGTCGCGCGTCCTGCACGGCCTTTAGGAAGGCTTTGGGGTCTTCAGCGCCAGAGCCGACGTGGAAGCTCACACCGACAACCTTCAGCTCGAGCTGGTACGCAACCTCCAGCAGGTGACGAGCGACATCCATCGATGCTCCAAACTTCATACTAAACTGGCACATGCTGGAAGAATCATCCGTAAGGATGCGCAAGTATAGCTCTGCGTCAGGGTAGCATGACTTGATCTTGTACAGTTCATCGGCATTGTCGAAGGTCATCTGCTTCACCCCCATCTTGGCTGCATAGCGCAGGTACGACTTGGTCTTGCAAGGCTGCGCGTAGATAATGCGGCTCGGATCGATACCAGTCTCAAGAGCCAGGTCAATTTCCGCCTTAGAGGCACAGTCGAAACCGTTGCCGAGCTTGGCCATGAGGCGAAGGATTTCAGGGTCCGGGTTGCACTTGACGGCTAATGAATATCGACATCAGTCGCTGTCTTCCTCCGTAGTCGTCCAACTTCAATCGAATCGAACTTACCGTAGAAGGGCCGGACACGGCTCAGGTTCAGTTTCCAGCGCAGGTGCTGGCGGTAAATCTCGCCCATATCTGCCACATAAAAGGCATCTTCGGCGCCCGGGGCGCACGCGTCCACGTCCACCTCAGACGCACGCTTCTTCAGGACGTCCAGGATAAGCTCCTTGGCAGCCAACCTAGACTGCGGCTGATCGTCCTCTCCATGATAGCTGAATTGACCATGATCCCAATTGAGATTATAGTCGTTTTTGTCGGGAATATGTTTGATAGTGGTGCATATTTCAGCTGGCAAACAAGCAGTCGGTGCCATAACCATGCGCGCTGCGACGAAGCACGGAATAGGTCTTTAGATAAAGATATAAAAAAGGAAGTGAAAAAAAGTTTGTTTGAACGCGACTGCGTGTTAGGGAGGACGAAAAGTTTCGCAACCGAGGTTGACTGGACCAAGCCTCCTAGACCCTTCCTCCTTGAGAGGAAGAACCTTCAGAGAAGTCCTATGCGGCAGCTCAAAAGGCGAAGGTGTGAATTGTGAGGGCGTCAATTTATGAAAAAATGGCGCACCGGACGGAGGGACGGAGATCGAGACCAGAAGGAGGGGGAATGTTATTAAGAGTGTCGCGTTGACGTCTATGCGATACAATTTGACGAAGAGAAAGCGAGGCTGTGTAAGCCGTGGTGCCCTGAGTTGCCTTTGGAACTGGTGGATTCCAAAGGCCTTGAAAATGCGATTGAGGAAGAGTGAGGTGAAGAGGGAAAGAGAAAAAACAGGGTTTTTTCTAGTTCCGAGAAATAAGAGACGATCTGACCCGAGCAGTCCAACTGTTAGCGGCGGAATTGAAAGAGAGCGGGAAAAGAAATGAGCAACGAGAACTCGGATATCAAGATAAAAGGGATGCGAGATTTGATTCCTGGGTCGTGGGGGGTAGACCGAGGGGGAGGGTGCTGAGGGGGGAGGGGGAGGAGACAAGAGGTGCGTGCAGAATTTTAACGACACTTTTCCGGTGGAGGGGGGAAATTTAGGGCAAAGGGCACGGCGTCAGGCAGACACCGGGGGTGGGGGAATGATGCTGATTCCTTGATCTGACAGGAAGATGACAGATGACCTGAAAATCATGGATGTAGGGGGGTGTGTATAGGCAGCAAGGAACAAGATAGCGTAAGGAGAGAAACTCACCTGGATGGAATGGGGATGTGGTGTGGTGAGAGGAACGAACACAAGGAGGGAAGTAAAGAAGGGGGAGGGGGGAAAATGGAGAGGGAGAGGAGAGGGAAAGCGGTAGCCAGTGCTCCGTAGCCGTAATAGGACGTAGTGGGGTTAACTTATTCCTTGTTAGTTAACGGAAAATAGGGTCGATGAGTCTGTGACGGTATTGTGACTGACATGCGCGACTTGCAGCCTTGCAGCCTCTCTTCTCTTTTCTTCCACCCAAAATCAAGTACTCCAAGCTTATCTGCCTCCCTCGACACAGTACGATTACCCTGCCTCTCGCCTCTCCATAACTACAAATATGAGCATCCCAAAATTCCAATCATGATCGAGTCCTCGAGTTCTTCCCTCAATCCCCGACCCGCCGTTGCATCTTGCAGAAACTCAAGGCCGGGCGAAAACAGCAGGCATGCAGACATGGTTGACGTGGTCTTCGTCTCGTCTCGTCTTCTCACACTGCCTGGCACCCACTGTGCCACTGCAGTAGTTGATTCCCGTTCGCCTCCGTTGTTTTGACTACTGAAGAACTCTTGGTACCATGGACCTCGGATCGAGATCTCCCATCCAGTTCCGCCAGATGATTCGATCTGGATGTCGAATTATCCCTCATGACCCATGCAACCCAAATTCTAGTCCATCCATCCAACACGAAAAAAATTGTCCCCTGACAAAAGACCAGACAGGAGGGGATTGACCGCCTCCTAAAGTTTGAGTCAGTCATTGAGAGATTTTTTTTTTGTTTCTATGAATGCCGACGGCGGGTTGCGTTGCGTTGACTAGACAGACGACAGCATCCCAGCCACATTGCGTTGCGTCATGCGGGTCACCAAAAAAATCGCTCGCCTGGCAGACAGGTTCCTGATCGGCGTTCTGGGCCCGGACACGAGAGGGTGGGGAGGGATGGATAAGCCCGGAGGCCATTGAATTTCTTCTCTCCTTCCTCCCTCCCCCAAAATCCATTGCGAGATGACGGTTTCTTGGATGATTGCATTCTTTGTCCTAACCTTATCTGAAACGGAAAATCGGTCAACACGTACTGTAACAGATGTAGATAGTCTCGCAGCAGCAGCAGCAGCAGCCGCCGTCCATGTAAAGCATGGGTAATCTCCCCACCCTGGGGTGGATGCGCTTCCATGGCAGTCTTACACATGTATTTCTGAGGTTCCTAATTGGGTTAACCCGCTCTGACCGCCTGAGGTCATTCTGTCGGTCGTTCCTGAGCTTGTTTGGGCGGTGAAGGCAGGGTCCCGGGCTGTATGCGGCACGTGATCGCTCTTTCTTTCAACCTCCAACAACAACACTGACTGTTTCCAATGTTTATTGAGAGCCAAAGAATGATTTTGGCTGCTCATTGAGGTGCATCTTTATTCGGACTTACTTTGTGCTGCTGATAATACAACACCTTTTATATTCAATGACTCTATACATCTTTACTTAGAAGTAATCAGCGGTTTTGGAATGTCTCCCCTTCGGAGTCTTTCTCCATCTAACAAAAATTGTACTACAAAGCCTCATGAAACAAGGGCAAGAAGAATGAAAGGGCAAAAGAAATATCAACCATATTGGATTTACACCGTATCAGAAAAGTCTATTGACGAGCCATGCTCAATCTCATTCAACGTACACAGCAGAGAAAACCCAATGATGCTAATGCTGACATAGGAGCCCAGTCCACCCGCAATGCATGAAATCAAAGAACCACAAGGCAAGCTACGAGACCAGCACGTAGCCCATTCCAAACAACCCCACCAACTGACCTATTTCACCTACCAGGCAAGTTCCTCCGCCGCAAAGCCCTACGAGCCGCCTCTCTCTGATCGGAGATCTCATCCACCGGCGACGCTACTCGGGAGACAGGGCACAGGCTGGGGGTGACGACGTGGACCGGCCGCCTGGCCTGCACGGTATGGACGGACTTACCGGTTTTCCAGTCCCCGTGGTTCAGGATCCCATCCTCATAGGGAGGAGAGGTGCTGCGCACACAGTCATCCAACTCGGCATCGTTCTTGAAGAACGGCCGTCGGCTTCCGCTGCTGGGAATAGTGGGCTGCGGCTGTTGCTGCGGCGGCTTCTGCTGTATTTGTGGTCTTCCTCCTGGTCGTGGTAGAGACTGAGACTGCGGTGGCTGAGGAGGCAGTGGCTTTCGCGTCACCGGCGGCGTCAGCATCATTCGCTTCTGCTGGTCGGCCACCCACCGCTGCGTCCGCTGGGAATGTACATCTTCTAGCTCTTGTCGCCGCTCCAGCTGCTCTCGCTGCCCCGGGCTGTGGCCATGGCCGTGGTGCTGTCGAATCTGGACATTGGCCGGAACATAGCTCCACTCGGAACCCGACTGCGCGGCCGCAGAGGAAGTTGCTCGTGCCCGCGCATGAGCCACCATCGGGGCCTGGCCGCCAGACCCAAGGCCCGGAGATGTGTTGGTACGGACTGCTTCCCGCCTGGGAAAGTCGAAGCCTCCCGCGGACGCTTGCTGTTGCTGCTGCTGGCCGTGGTGCTTGACTGCGTTGGAGCGGCGAAGACCCCCGCCGCCACCGTCCTGCTGCTGACCTGAGTCAGTGGTGATTTTGCGACCATGCAATATGCCTTTCAGCAATGGCATTGTGAATGACGAATAGCAGTTATTGTGGGGGGGGTGAGATACTGTGTGTTTTTTGGGTTGAATTTGGTGTGAGTTGTCGATCTGGAACTGTAATAGTATATCGGATAATATACCTTGTAGACTGGAGTTAGATCGCGCGTGTGTGTGGAGTACCAAGCATGTAGTGTTCTGGGAAAAGATGAAACAGCGACGAGGGGGGGGCGCGGGAGGGATCAAACGCAGCATATATATCTTGTTAGTACGGCGTACCTGAGAATTGATGCTGGTTTGAGTCATGGCGGAATAAAGGGTCGGCCGAAAATCTCCTGTAAGCTTTCTCTACCCTCAGGGTGACAAGAAAACAAAGCTTTTGTGGGGGAGTTTCCGTCTGTGATGAAAGGATAGTACCGACAAGCGGGCAGTGAGGTACCGTGGTCGACAGTACATGGATGAACGTGCCATGTCACTTTTACCCAATTTCCACTTGTTCCTCTTTCTTAGTTATAGGCTAGGTGCTTGTTATCACCATCTCTTGGTTTCACTGTTCAACACAGATCACAAAAAGGGTCACAAGACATCATTATTATCTAGATACTCGAAAATAAAAATGTATAGTACAAAGAAATGGAAAATACGAAACCGAAGAAAACGGCCTGGACATTGACTGACCCGAGTCAGTCCATTTCTGCCTGTAATTACAGCCACAGAATCCATCGAACGCCCGAGAGAAATCCTCGAAAAACGCCGCGAAGCACTTTGAAAGCCATGACGATGAGCCAGACCCACCACAGCATACCAACGAGCGCCCATTCGAGCATGACAAACCCTGTACGTCGGACCCAGCGCAACCTGCGATGACGTCTGCGCATGCCTTTATCGAGGGTATCGCTCAATTGCTTTACCGCGAGGGTGCTTGTGGTGTTGAGCTGAATGCTCAGGTCTTCGGCATCTTGAGTCGCTGCCTGAACGCGAGGGCTGATGCTCTCATTGACTATCTTCTCGAGTCTGCTCAGCTGAGCATTCAGCGGCGATGACACCGAGCCTGAAAAGTTGTCCATGGCATGTCGGAAAGCACGGTTGGTCTCTTCGAACCTCTTGAGTAGTCCCTGCGCCGCGGCATCATACTCGCAGAGTCGAGTCACCCGTGGCACGGGTACGGAGGCATCACCATATGTGCGCAGAAGGAACTCAGGAGGTGGTTCGCGCACGGTGCCGGCCCGGCGGGTGATCTCCCGAGCCTTAATTCCCGAGGTGAGGAGAAGCGCTCGAGTTCGTTCAACCTCGCGTTTTCCAGGGATACCACTGACAAGCGCAGTGGAGAGACTGCGATTGGAAATACTCCAACTTCTGGACTGGGCATCTAACACAGGGCGCCTGTTTTGCGACGCTGGGGAGGCTTCCACCTTGGCCTGCGCAAGACCCGTCATAGGTGGCCGGGTGAGACTGAAAGGCACAGATTGATCTTTGATCCTGCCTTTTCGGATTTGTTCCCGGATTGTATGTATTTCGGGGCCGAACAGTTTCTCAAGGCGCGTGGGTGGTGCGTGAACATTTGTATTGCTTGAAAGGGAAGCAGAGAAACTCCCAACGTCCCTCTGAGAGCCGTCCATGTTGTGGTATATATCAGTGTCCGTAGTGTGACCCGGCAGATCAGTAGAGTCAGAGCTTTGAAGTTGAGTGAACTGTTCCTGTCCAGCAGGTGACAATAGATGTGGCGACAGCAATGCCTCGTTGTGTGTACCGACTCTTTCCAGATTCTTGCGCGAAGGCCGAGTGCCATCATCGACAAACGCAGGCAACCGACGTAGAAGAGATTTGGTGCCTGACGTTTTATCGCCTTTTATCTCCTCAGCCTCATCAGCATTATCGGAGTCCGAACTGCTTAGGCTAGAATGCGAGGTCTTGCGTGCCATCGCCATCGAGTCTTTCTTCATAATACGATCGCCGACTTTCGACATCTCATTGCCTACTTTTTCGGCTATCTTTCCAGGCCCTTTGAGAATGCCGCGTAGCCTTGACTCTGTCTGAGAGGTGTCCTTCCGCATCGGAGATTGAGGCTTAAAAAGCTCATCCTGGTACGTGGATGACGTGGTCTGGTAGGTAAGGGGACTGGGTTCCAAACCAATGCGACCCGCGGCTTCGGACAAGCTATCTTGACGCACACCGTCCGTGTCTGGCACATTTTCGTCGGCGTTGTCCTTTGTGCGAATGTTGCTCTTGCTGCGCTCGTGACGCGAGCCACGGGCCCGCGCAAACCGTCCCTTAGACGGTGATGGAGACCGGCTTGATGGGGGAGATAGATTGCTCGCAATACTAGGAAAGAACCCTAACTGGGAATGAACACCAGAGGACTTGGTATCGAGAGTTGCCATGTTCGTCAAAGGATCGTAACGATCATCGATGCTCGGCACAGAGGACATAGAGCTTCGCTTCCCTTCTGATCTGGCGCGGCCTCCAGTCCTATGGCGGGGAAGTGGGCCATGGCTCGGGGTATACCTGACCCCTGTGAGACTGTCATCTTCAGAAATCGCCCCAGAGCCCCTGGTTTGGAATGCACCCAGCGTTGGCGGGTTATACTTTCCAGGAGAAATTGTCCTGTCAGCGTGCATGTAACGGTGTAGCCGGTCATCCGCGCTGGACGTGCTCGCAGAGCTACTAAAAAAGCCAAGCTTGCGACTTCCGGGCTCCAAATCTTTGACGGAGACATCGCTATCATGTGTGCTACGGCCGGAAGTCCGAAACCTGTGCCGTTGCCTTCCACGTGTACCGCTTGTCAGACTAGGATGAGCGTCGGATAGAGATGCACGGGAAATGTAATGCTCCGAGTCCATGGACTCTCGATGACGTTGCAGTTTCTCCTCCAAGCTGAGCTTGGCATCATCCATACCGACATCGATCAGTATATTCGGGTTTGGATAAAGGAGGTTTCCGTCCTTGTCGACTAATTTACTCTTGTTGTGATCATCTTCAACCCACGCAGCATCGGAAAGCATTTCTGCCGGATCAATGACCCAATCTGATCGCGGCCTGCGGGCTTTGACACTGCTAGTACGGCTAGCGCGCCTCAGGCTAGAAGGAGGAGAGGCTGCAAGATGATCGATATCCAGCTGATGTTCCGAAGGCACATATTTTCTTGATTTTGGAAACGAGGGAAGTTGTAGACGTTCCGCCGCGCTGTGATTGCGATGGCTGTACAACGACTCCACCGAGTCAACCCATTCATGCACCCGTTCGGTGTCATACCATCCCTCGGCTTCAGTATCAATACTGCATCGTTCGCGAAACCTTACTTTCCGGTTACGGATACATTGGAGAGGATTGTATCTTCTGGCGGAGAGCTCGCTGTTACTCGCAACTGATACCGAGTCTGTAGCGGACGGGTCGAGATGCTCTAGAGGCGGAAGCGACGACAGAAGTCGTAGGTATTCGGAGAGCAGCTCAAAATGACGCCGGGCCTTCTCAGCCCGGATAAGAGTGCTCTCCGAGATCCCAGAAGGCAAAGTTTCCGAATCGATCGACTGAGGCAGGAGACTGAGCACCGAGGATGGGGTATGTGCCGGAAATCCCGCCACCCTTTCAGGGATGGTGGGCTTGCTGTAGCGATCGCTCCACTTGTGCACTGCATCGCGATGCCGGGGGCTGCTGTGGCGAAGGCCGCCCACAGAAGCCATCGGTTGAATGTCAGGGTAAGGAGCAGCAGGCTGACCGACGGACACCATCCTCCGATTGCCCGGAAAGCGGTTGGAAGCCGAACGTCCTAGACTGTTCCGTTTCCGCGACTCGCTCAAATTCAGCGCGAGATTGACGATCTGTAAGGAATCCCTGTCCAGGCCCATGGCAGCCTGGTTGTCCGGCGTCCCCGTTTCTGCTTGCTCCTGGTGTTGTGCCGCATCATCGTCCGCCACATGCGAAGAAGAAGCAGTAGTCTCATCTTCAGCCGTTTGGGCCGCAGTTGAGCCCAGCTTCTGTTCCTTCTGACGACTCCACGGAAATCGCGATCGTTTCTTTGACACCTCCGGACCCGGCTCAGGAGCCTCCCGTTTCTCTTTCCGATTTGATTCCGAACGGCGGAGGAATTGGTGTTGGCTGCTCTTCAAGCTCTTGGAGCCGGGTAGGAAGGATGAGTCGACAAAGAATCCACCGGAGCCATGTGTCCGGCGCTGGGCTCCTCGACTTGTCTTATCTCCATCGCGAGAGCTACTGCCTAGCGTGCTCCCCTCCAGCTCCCCGCTCGCCCGTCCCTCGTTCATCTGCGGCTCTCTTAGTCGAAAGGTTGCGTCATGAGGATTGCTCGAAGGTTGACGAGTTTCCGACAACGTGTCATTCGGGCCAGGAGTGGGAAGGGATGCGGTGGGCGGTTCATTGGTCTTGGGCGACATTAGAACCAGGGTGACGAATTGGTGGTCCGTCCCGCCGGAGTAAATAGGGGGTCGGCTCACAGGGTGAAGAGGACATGGAGATGCCCAAGCAAAGTGCTAAAAGTTGAACATGGCACTGTAGAGCACAGGCAAGACACTAGGGGCAACACGAATAGGTGCACGTTCGTCGGTCTGTGCTGTCGAGACAACGTTAGTCGTGTCGTACAGTAAGTAAGTACACTTCAATCCCCCCCAACTGCATAATGCGGCGGAGCACGTGGAGCTGCAAACATGGCAAACAACCACTGCCGGCGGAATAGAAGTCAACAGTACCAAATGACCTTGTTATCATTTTTAATGATGTATAACTACATAACTGCACAGTCTCACCGGTTTGTCATACAAAGGAAACATCTAGCATTGAGTCTAACAACGCACGTGGGAACTAGAGGTACAATTCCTGTAGGATGAGGAAGAAGAAGAGGCATGAGATACAAGAAAACTAAACAAACGCTGAGGGTATTGGTTTACTCGACCCTCAGGCACTGTAGACGCGCTTCAGTCTCGATGACCTGTAAGAACAAGATTTGTTAGCCTGAACTGCAAAAGGGAACAAGATATCATAGCCATCAGGGTTAGTCTTACCTCTAGGGCTTGCTTCACTTCCAACACTCGGCGCACTTCACCCAGCCAATCCTTGCTCAGAATCTTGGCCCAGCCCTTGAGACTGTTCATCTCACGGGCGGCACCATCAAGGTTGCCCTCTTCCAGAAGGCTCTCGGTCCGGCAGAGAACACTTTCAACATCATCGCTGCCAGCAACGGCATCCTTCTTGAACATGACCTTGCTCAGAACGAAACTGGCAGCATGGCTGGCAATACCCGCATCCTCGGGCAAGAGGCTTGCCTTACGGACCTCATCGGCTACCCGACGGAAGCGCTCGATGATCTGAGATGTGGAGGGAATACCACGCTGATAGGCGGTAGGGTTGATCGAGGCGATAGCCGCATCAACCACGGGGTCTTCAGCGGCCAACTCCTTCACGGCAACAAGCTCGCGCACGAACGGGCGAGGAACCACAGAGCGCTCAAGGACCGAGCGGACAGCGTCAACAGCAACCTGCAATTGCTGGGTCTTGAGGTTGGTGTCAATGACCTCTCTCCAGCCGGTGGTGAGCTGCTCCAGCTCGCTGACATTGGCAGTCAACTCATTGAGCTTGCTGAGGCGACCTTCGCGCTCACGCTCGACCAGGTCCTTCACTTCATGGAGGTACTTGCGGTTAAGCTCAATGGCTTGCTCGACCAGCTCGTTCTTAAGACGCTGCTCAGCCAGCTCCTGGGCTCTCTGCAGCTCCGTGCGGATCTTCTCCTGGTAAGCGCGAGCAAGCTTCTCACGCTCGGCCTCGAATTCTTCGCGATACTGAGCAGCGTCGGTGGCACGGGCTTCCTCAAAGCGACGGATGAGCTCGCGCGCGGATTCGTCGAAGGTAGCGTGGGCCTGGTTAATCTCCTCCTGGGCAGTACGGCGCGCCTCTTCCCGGACAGCGATAATCTTATCGCCGATCTTCTGGAGCTCCTCCTTGGCCTTCTCAACAGGCTTGGAGAACTTCGGGGCACTCTCGTCGGCACTGATCACGGTGATGATATCGTTGAAAGTCTTCACCAATTCTTGGACAATGGCCTCATCTCCCTCGTTGACCTTGGCGAACTCGAGAGGGGTCACTGCGGGCAAAGCAGGTTGTCTGGGTTCCTCCTTCTCGACCGGCTTAGGCGCCTCTTCCTTGGCGGCCTTCGTCTCCTTGGCCTTCTCGACCGCGGCGGACTTCTCCTCGGGCTTGGCAGCGGCAGGCTTGACTTGCGCTTCGCTGCCCTTGTCCTTCTGAGCGGAGCTCATGTGGGGGCCCTTCTCAGCTGACTCCTCCTCGGCAACCTTCGAGGTCAATCCGCTCTTGCTAGGGATCGTGATCTGGTTGCTCTCATCCCGACGAGTAGGGAACCGGACCTGGCTCTTCAGGGTGTTGGGGAATCGGCGGTAGAAGTCTCGTTCTTCAAAGTATAGGACGCTCTCTTCACCATAGGGGATATATTCGGTGAAGAAGTCATGGAAGTTGTCGAATTTGAGAGCCAGGAAGATGCCACCACCGTAAGCGAAGCCTGAAGTCAGAAGCAGGTAGAGAAGGAATCGGCGGAAACGTCCACCCTTCTTGGGAGCTGGAGTGGGCACGACGGGAGGGACTTCGGAGCCTGTAATCGGATCAGTCTGCAGTTCTTGCTGTGTATTCGAGTGATGATGGCAACAGTACCCTGATCGGTAGGCTCCGGCTTAGGAACGACAACCTCCGGGGGCACAGGCGACGCGGAGGACGGGGTAACAGGAGTGGGAGCACCGGTAGTAGGGGGTCTAGCATCGGCAAAGAATCTCTAGTGAGAGTGAAGGACATATTAGTGACCAATCTGCCATTGATGATCCGCAAATTGAGGATGCCGTCACCGTACCTGATTCGAGAACCGGTTGCTTGCTCCAGCTCTGGACAGCCATTGCGCGGCCGTCCTTTGGCGAGCGGAGGACAGTAGCACCTGGCGTCCCGTGGCAACAGAAGAGCGCAGCATCGTGGGCCGCACTACTGTGAAGGAAAGCGCTGGGAGCGAGAGAAGTTGAGGGGTTGATGTTGACGAAGGTGAAAACGCGGACCGGAACTGGAACTGGGATTAGTAGGTGCTTTTACGATCCGCTCCGATCCTGCACCGCCAAATAGTGGCTCAGTCAGCTCGGCCTTGGTCGCACCGCCCGCCCGCTTCTTCTGTCACGACATTACAACTTGTATAGTTCATGAGAGCAGCGTCAATCGAATACTATACCTGTTTCGTACCCGCTGAATGAGTTTACCATAGTCTAGAAAAATATGACCAATATACAGCTATTGCGAACTATTTTTGTTCGACCTCTCATTGCGCCGGTAAAGAGAGCCACATGTGCGCAATTCAGGATCAAATACGTCATCCCAAGACCAAGGAAGATTATTGAAATATTATATAGGCATAGCATACTGAGAAACTCTGAGGGTAAAAAAACAAAGGAAAACGAGAAGGAAAACAGCAGCTCAACCCATAACAAAGGATACAGACGCCAGCAATAGGAAAACACAGAGGGAACAAATTGAAACACCGAATATCCTAAGCTATCTCCTGCAACATGGAGTCGGCTTCACCAGAGCCAATTGTACCCGTGTACATGGCCAGAGTTGGGTGTCACAAGTGGCATGGATAGACCTCGAGAGAATGGGAAGGCCTTGAGAAGTGGGCGACAGAACTGAAAAATAGCTGCTCGGATTAGGGGCCACAACGAGAAACCGGTTGATGTTGCGTGTCAAATCCAGGCCGCCAGAAATTCGGCTAGGGATACCGGATAACCAGCTCTTGAGAAACATATAGCGACCATGCTCAGCTGCCGATTGAAGTCGTCAGGGTTTGCACCGGAATTAAAGGTAAAGCTCAGGCAAGAGAAGCACGTCTTTCGCATCTAGACAAACCAAACCAACGAAAGCTAAAACACCCATGGGTAGAGAGAAGGCATCACAATGCTAGAGTTGAAAAGGCAGGGTTGAGGGCGATATCTAGCAGTTGCAGGCGCCGGCGCCCTGAGTGCCAGGGGCTTCTGGTCGCAAATCGACACCGGGTCGGGGGGCAGCCCGCAGGTTCCGTGGGCCTGCCTGATCGAGAGGCAGCTTTTTCGCAATAGCGGTGAACAATTCTCGCACATTAGATGACGTCTTGGCCGACGTTTCGAAGAAGAGCAGACCGGCTTCACGTGCATAGGCCTCGGCATCAGCGGTCGCGATCGCGCGCTTGTCGGGATTCTCTGTTACAAGATCGAGCTTGTTGCCTGCAAGAGCGATGACGATGTTTTCGTTCGCTTGCCTCTGTAGTTCCTTCACCCATGACTTGGCCTTATCCAACGACGACTGTTCCATCATATCCACATTAGCATTTCCGCGCGATCATGCTGGTCTGAGAGCACATAGAGGCCGTACCGCTTGAGTAATGTCGTACACAACAACAGCGCAGTTCGCGTTCCGGTAGTACATGGGAGCCAAGGACTTGTATCTCTCCTGACCGGCGGTGTCCCATATTTCGAACTTGACTGTCGTGCTTTCGTCCAGGGAGATTGTCTGTGTGAGGAAGGCGGCGCCAATAGTCGACTCGCGGTAATCATCGAATTGATCCTATCCCATATGAGCTCCGCCCCTGGGGATCAAGAAAAAGCCCTCTGGCTGTAAACCAACCTTAACAAATCTGAGGACTAGCGAACTCTGCCAAGTAATGAGAACATCAGCGACGGCCCGAACAATGAATTCAACAACTTATTCACCTTTCCAACGGCACTTTCTCCTGTTCCAAACATAAATCATAAGTCAGTCTTCATTTTCCGACGTATTTGAGTGGGGTTATAGTCAGGGGGAAGCTAACCAAGCAACACCAGCTTAAACTGAGCGAATCTGGCACCGGGACGGGCGCCTGCTGCGGCTCTGGTGGCCATAGTGAACGGAAGTGGTAGAACAACTTTGAAAAGGTCAAAAAAGAGAAGAGGCGATGATGTAGTTGTCGGTGGAAGCGTGGCAGAAGAACTCGACCCGGAGTGGAAAGTTCAAGAATGCAAGAAGAGATGAAGATAATGGAAAGGCGGGATCGGGACGCTGGGGGAGGTTTGATGGCGGCCTGCCGTCGACGGCGGTGGTTGAGATGACGAAGGGGGTTCAGCCACACCTGGCTTAAGCCGACTGGCCCATGTGCGGGGCGGTGCGGCGTCTGCTTGTATGTGCAGGAGTGGTATGTATACTTACAACAATTTCATTGCAGATCGCCCCATATGGCAGCTGCTACTTTTGTAAGGGCTCTCCATTGATACCTCGTGACATTGACTATACTAGACTTTTAAACATGAATCATCTATGCTCGTTATTCCTTACTGGCTATTCTAGCTGCTACATGGGAAACTGCCACTGCTAGGCGGAATTACATGGCAGAATGTTCAGAAGCGGAGCTGGCGGGCAGAAAGCCGACAAGGCGGGCTCTTGAGGCAGAATGTCAGGTACATTCCTTCCTAATGGCATTCCTAATGGATATAATAAGAGCAAAATAATCTCCCTTAGAGAGATCCTGCTACCATCTCCAAGTCTATGACCGTAAACCTCCTTCATCACTTTTTTGCATCTCTCCCAGCCCACTGTGTAGTGATTTCCGAGGATATTGGTCCCCAGACCAGGGTTCTTGTTATACTGTACGGACCTTCGCCAACCCAGTAGTTAGCGAAAGCTTTCTACTTGCTGGTCGGATAAATACAGGTAAAATGTACCTAAGTCCCAGTCCCAGGTTGCTGTCGATGTGTTTTCATTGGCTCTCAAATATATGAAATAGGTCATGCGCCAATTCAGCCCAGCGCACAGGCATAATAATGGGAGTAGTTTTCTAGATTCCTAGTGTTTGGGTGGATCTATTTAATCTATACAAGGTATATATCGGAAGGCATACTGCACAATATCTAGGCCATTAGAATTGAATCATCTTCCATTCTCTTTCACTGGCGATAAGTTACAAAAATCCAAATCTCTATTTTATACTCTCACTATAAGCTGCAATCTGGCGAGTGGCTTTCAGAGTGCCTCGGCTGCCTTAATACGATTTACTGGAGCTCCTCTTGAAGGGATGGTAATCACCAATGGCGCCATTGAGGGCCCTTTTGGATGAATGCAACAAGGACAGTCTGCAATTTGATCGAGAATCCTGTAAGTTTGTTGATCACAATCACAGATTTGGCTTGGGGCTGACTCTTCTAGATTCCGCAGATCACTACCGCGGATATCCAGTAGGGGCTGTATGTACCACCCGGTTTCTTCTAGCAGAGGGAATAAATACCACTAGCATTTCTCCTTCGCACTCATCTGCAGCTTGCCTGATTTCACTGCCTGTTCTCACATCCTGTCATATAAAATCGGGGTTCTAATGTACCGACCTTCAAGATACTCTAGCATTCAGTTCGCTTCTCTGAAGTGGCTAGCGTCAAAGCGACCACTGCTCTCTGTCTCTTCTGACCCATTATACTTTCTCGCTCCAAAAAGACCTGGGAGTTATCTTCAACGACCAGCGATGTCCTCTTCTCAGTGGACATCTGTGCCACGGGATTTTCCATCTTCCGGCTTTAAGTTACTTGACTCGTCCGTACATATTGAAGAAAAGACGTTACCTACATATCAAACCCAAAAATATTATCCAATCCAAGAGGGGGAAGTATTCAGCAATTGATATCAGGTATTAGCAGGGTTAGGCTACAGAGTCACTTCCACTGTATGGCATGGTCGTGACTTGGTGTAAGTACATGCAATCCATTGTACTTTTTGATTTTTCGGGGGTTTGTTGATAATGCGATACAGTAATTCCAGCTATGTTGCTTTGAAAATATACGTGACGGGCGAGAACAGAGATGATGAACTGAACGTCTATAAGCATTTGAATCCAGTGAACTAGGAACATCCCAGTAGAAAATTCATTCGAAAACTATTCGACCATTTTATTATCACGGGTCCCCATGGTCAACATATCTGTCTAGTTCACGAGCCTCTAGGGATAAGTGCGAGTGAGCTGCTGGAATGGATCCCTGGCAAAGCAATGACTCTGGAGGATATGAAGGTTTGTATCCGACAGTGTGGGACTTCTTACATTCTGCAGCTGGTTCGATCCACACGGGTACGTGTTGATTTCGCCTGGGTTTTAACGATATTGGGAGGCTGACTTGCACAGATCTCCAGCTAAAGAACTTGCTTCTTCCCACACCAAAGCCAGAGGCGCTGTCTAACTTTGAGGAAGAGGAGATAAGAAGACCATCGGCACGAAAGGTGCTTCATGACCGTACAATCTACACGTCCGCCCGCTTCCCTCCTGGAGACGGACTACCGCTTCTCAGTGATCTTGGCGAAGCTCGGCTTAGCAACAAGAAGCATACCGAAGATATCATGCCAAATCCTTACAGGGCGCCTGAAGTGATTCTGAGAGCAAGCTGGGATTATAAAGTTGATATCTGGAATATCGCTATGGTTGTAAGCACACTACGTTTATTGAACAGTCGTTTAATTGTGATTTATTGGGTCTGAGAATATGCTAATCAGTATGCTGAAGGCATGGGATATCGTGAGCTCCCCGACACTCATCAAAGGCAGAAATCCAGATGGCATTTTTGATGATCGTGCCCACCTTGCAGAACTGGTTGCACTCCTAGGATGTCCACCACCTGACTTCCGTGCACGAAGCCATCTCAGTTCTGTTTTCTGGGACGACTCCGGCACCTGGAAAGAACTAGCACCGATTCCTGATATCACATTCGAATCTTTAGCTGCCAATATCAAGGGAGAAGACAAGGACGGGTTCCTACGATGACTTCGACGGGCTCTACAATGGAACCCCTCTGACCGACCGACAGCTCTCGAGCTCTTGTACGATGAGTGGTTGATGAAGGAACTTGAATAAGGGAGACGAGAGAGAGCCACTAAACCTTGACTGGATCTTCCTTTTTTGCCTATTATCGGTGTAATCAGTTGTTGCTGTCCTTATTTCTGTACTCTGCTCACTATATTTCTTAGAGATGCTGAGTACTTTTGGGGTATTGCCTGGGCAAGGACTGATTTGGATTCAAGTAAAGTGCAGTAAATTACTACATGAGGTGGAATTAGATTGCTTGAATAAGTCAAAGATCCTGTTTGTAGATGGACACAGATTAGACCAAAGACAGGTGGGAATTGAAAGACCAACCCAGTCGAATTGAAGTCTTGCAAGGTTCGTCGGAATGATGATTGAAAATCCGACATGAAGTGGGCAGATAATGACATGTACAATGAATGAGTAAAAGATACATACTTAGTAGCCCAGCTAGTACTCGACAATGTACAGCCCATTTATGAAACCATCTCTCCTTATCTACAATTTTGCCTCCCGCTCCATGAGATATTGCGCAGGCCACACACCTGACTTGCCCGGCGCGAGGATCCCTTTCGGATCCAGCGCCTGTTTGATAACCTCGTGAACCTTCAGTAGACTGCCATTGTTCCAGTTGTAGGTCCCCATCACCTGGTCCATGACCGCCAGGTGGGTCCGGTACTCCCCCCAACCGCGTTCCGCACAGTCGGCAATCAGTCTTTTGATCAGAGTGAGCGCTTTGTTCCGCTCCACCGGCGAGGTTCTATCGTACACAATGCACACAATGTGGTCTGAAGGAAGTTAGATCCGGAGTACAAGGTAGGAGAGAAAGACAGGCGCGGGAATGAGGGGACAACTCACGCATCTCTCGCATCCCAACGGTGAAGGTACCTAGAAAGTCCAGGCCGACCTCTAGACACCGCTGCTTGGTCAGGAGATATTGCGCCATAGCGTCGTCCCCGGTCACTTTGGCAATCGGGGAGAAAAACAGATGGGCTCCGTTTGGTACCCAATTCACCCACTTGAGTTCCTCGTAGGTGGGGATCCCCTGCATCGTTAAGTGACGGATGCGCAGCACCGAGTTCTCCGGGGTCTCCTCCGGGAAATAGAATTCGGCTCCGGGTATTGTGGAGAAGGCCGCTTTGATGGCTGCCCAGAGAGTCTGGCGAATCGGTTCAGGTCCCTTTGGAGGTTTTTGCGGTAGGTCAGTTTCAGCACGACCTGGTCAACGAAGTGACGGGTGTAAGTTGGAGGATCGAGGGCAAGCAAGGCCTACGTAGAGCGCCCCGTAAAAGTTCCACCGGCCCAAATTCAACTTCTTAGCAATCGCATCAAGCGTCTCGTCGGACAGCGGACCATCGATGTCAGTATACACGGTACGAGGGGCCAGAACGGCAGCATCAAGCAGAATGTGGCGGATGGTGGGCACGTTCTGGAGGGTCATGGTGAGGCGCAAGGGCCGGATGATATCGACCGCGCGGTGCAGATCCTCGTCCCTGGGCAGGGTGATCAGATAGGACTGATACCCGCCGGGATTGGGCATGAGCCACATCCCAATCTTGGTGACCACACCCAGGTTAGACTGCGTGAACAGACCATCCAAATAGGCACCAAATCCGTAGGGGAACAGGGCGGCGGTCGGATTCCAGGGCTGGGTTTCGGGCTTCTTGGACTCAGAACCGCCACGGCTCTCGGGGTGCGGCAGGGCACCCATGCCCGTGCGCACCAGTTCTCCGGTTGGCATTACCACCTCCATCCCTGAGTGCATCATGTAGTGATCTCCATACGGGGTATATCCAACTCCCCGCTCCAGCATGTTTCCTAGGATCGACCCCCCACCGAGATCGGGGACATCAATCCATACTTTCTCACGCAGATTGTGCTGAACGAGGTAGTTATGCAGGTCATGGAAAGTGACACCTACATATCAGAGAAGGTTAGTCTGGGAGAAGAATTTATGCAGTTGGGACTCTCCCACCTGGCTCCACAATACAGTAGGCCCCAGCAACATTGACCTCCAGGATCCGATTCATATTCTTCCCCATGTTGAGGACGACAGATCCCCGAACCCGAGGGGCAGCACCCCCATATCCCGAGTTTCGACCAATTGAAACCGGCCACAGTGGGACTCGAAGTTCATTGGCGAGGCGTACAATCGCTCTGATACGATCCAATTAGTCGGCGTATTGTACGTAGGGTCAAGGCAAGGGGGGGAAACAGTTGGTGGAAGACTCACTGAACATCTGCCACATCTCGGGGTGCGACGATAGCTGAGGCGAGGAAGGTGTCAGGAGCCAGAACAGGATGAGGGTCAACAGAATACTGAGGATTCATATATGACCCCGGATCTAATTGTTCCTTCGTCGTGATCACATCGACGTTCCCCGCACCAACGACCGAGAGTACCTTGTCCAAAAAGATATTGAATGCCTTGGCACTCAGCCCAGGAGGGAGTGCTAATGGTTCAAACATTGTGTATAGTTGATTTCTGTGGATTGATTGATTGCTGAATGCTCATCCAGGCTGAACTCCTATGGTCGAACTGGTGGAGGTGATAAGCACTGTTTCTATTCCATCGAGAAGTGAATAAGAGGAGGAACCGGGTAAATTGAAATGTCATGTAAGCATATTTGGGGGAATTAATGGTGAGAATGATGGTGCAGACATAACATCCGAATGTATAGGGTAGAGTCTTCATCGCCTACGTAACGTAGTGCAGTGCTGAAGATCAGCATCCTGTGGGGTCCGAAGCGGGGATCTGCCAGAAGCGGGGAGTGGGAATTTCCTGCTGCCCGCCACGGCTGCGATAGGCGGAGGAGGCATTAAGTTCCGGCCCAGTACCAAGGTATCTGGATACCGAGTCCGTAGAAACGCTGGAAATCGCTTAAGGATTCCGTTCCCGAGTGTGTCCAAGAAAAGTTGGTCATCTAGGTCCTGGCAGCGTATTATTAACTACTAGGTATCGACATGTAAGTGTGTTCTACGATTTCATAATTACAATTTCTCTTTTTCTGCGGATTGTGAAAGACTACCTAGTTTAGATCATTGTCAAGAATACCTATAACTACCTACTTCCTCTTATATACAGGTACTCATACCCTTTTTAATCGCTTCATCCCCCAAGCGTACCACTAATTTCCCATCCAGCTGACTGACCTGCCCCGCGTAATTGTTGAGGTTGACCAAGTCCATAAGTACAGTCCGCGGCTTTACCAGACCGCGGATGACAAATTGAACCGCCTCAAGGACATCCCGGCGATCCCCGGTGATGCTGCCGACGAATCGAATACCATAGTCAATCAGAGTGAGGGGGTGAAAGGAGACTTTCGACGTCGGTGGGGGGATCCCCACGGCCACTAGGACTCCAAAGTAGGCTAAGCACGGCAGGGCATCCTCGTACGCGGCGGCAGCCCCAGCACAGACAAGTACAGCAGCACAGAGATCACCGCCCGTAGCGCGAAGGAGATTGGTTCGGAGATCTGGCTCGGCCTCCTCATAGTCAAGATAGACATCAGCCCCCGCCTCCATACAGATGGCTCTTTGTTGAGGGCCGCCCTCGCCGTCGATGGCCACCGTCCGATACCCCATGGCCTTGGCATATTGCACTGCCAGGGAGCCCACGCCGCCTGCTGCCCCGGAGACACCGATCCACGATCCGGGAGTGACGTTGGCTAGCTTGAGGGCCTTGTAAGCTGTTACCCCTGCGCACATGATCGGGGCCAACAGCTCGCTGGGGCCCTCTTCAGGCAGAGGCACCAGGTACCGTTCCGGAACGACAGCATATCGCGCCAGCGTGCCGGCCACATCTCGGCCACTGAAGACCTGGGTGGTGCATCTGGTTTCGCCCGCCCCCGCGCTCATGCAGTTGGGACACGCGCCACAGGCATCGCGAATCCAGCCAATTCCAACTCGCTGGCCTACCGCCGCCGCTCTAGCTTCACACATGGCGCCTACGGCCACGATTCGGCCAATTCCCTCGTGGCCTAGGATGGTGTTACAAGGGCCGAGATGTCCGCGGGCGAGCGACAGATCGGTACCGCAAAAACCTGTCACTTCCAGGCAAACAAGGACTTCCCGAGGTTGGATGGTTGGAATAGTTGTGGTCGTTATTGTAAAGGTGAAGTCTGCTCCTTGCTGTTTGAAGATACTTAGTAGTGTTTTACCAATGCTCCTGAGGAGGGGGGCTATAAGTTGATAGGCTGCATACTTACATTTTTGAGAATCGCTACCGGCTGCTCCGCCATTGTGGTTTCACGTATGACTTGATGCCCAGAGCTGGAAGCAATGATCAAATCGGAAGATATCTTAGGCCTTTCACCTGGAATACATATGAGGTTCATCTTTATGTTGTTCCGAGGCTGGGTAGTGGAACGGCATTTTCCCAATCCCGCCCCACCGAACAAGCCGTACAGACAAGGCGGGGGTGTGATTTTCCCGCATGGCTCCCGCCCCGCTGGTGGGGATATCCCGCCGCTAGTCCATCTACGTAGTATGAAAATCTATGATCCTTCTGCTATCCAATGCTTTCGGATTTTTTTCTTAGCATCCTCCTCTTCCCATTTCTGCCTTGGGCCTTTTCTGTCTATTTCAAGATAGGCATAGAGCACTCCGATTCTCTGCAGTAGAACGGTGTGCGGCTACCATCAAAGCGTTGATTAGGGTTACAATGTTCTCTAACATCATCCGCTCGGAACAATGACATGGGGGAGACACAGTGACTGTCACCGATCCTCGAACCCTCACCGAGCTATGACCGGTCTCAGTGGCTACGGAGAACGACTTAGACGAGGCGGTACAGGCAGCCCGTGAGGCCTTCCCCATCTGGAAAGCCCGGCCTCTGGAAGATCGACAGCAATGTCTGCACCGGATAGCAGATGAGCTGGAGAATCGACAAGACGGGCTCCGTCCTATCCTTTTCCAAGGAGTCAGGCAAGTCGGTATGCGGATTCCCCCTTTGACCCTTGCTGTGTTAGGGGGCTGGCTAATAGAGGCCGGCGTTGCAGGAGATTCTGGCGAATATTGAGATTGACGATGCCTTGCGGTTCTCCTGTTTGATGGTAAGAACAAAAGAAAACAAAGACTCTATCTCTCTCTCTCTCAGAGCAAGATTAGAAAACTGGGGATTCAAGCCGCCCAGTCATGTCCCGATAAGATCGAATATGAGGTTGGATCCGTCCGAATTGTCTAAACGTATCCTCCGCTGGACGTGGTCGGCGCCATATGCCCGTGGAACTTCCCGCTGGTGCTGGCGGTGGTCAAGATAGCAGTGGCCCTGGTGATGGGCAACTGTGTGATCGTAAAGCCCTCCCCAATGACCCGGTACGCGACTCTGAATTTCGTCGAATATGCACTAGATCTCCTTCCCAAGGTATTACTCCAGGCGCTAAATGGGGGCAACGAGGTCGGGGCGCGCATGACCACCCATCCGGGCATCGGCAAGATCAGCTTCACCGATTTCACCGCCACAGGCTGCCGTATAGCAGAAAGCGCGGGGCGGTCGCTCAAGCGCGTGACCCTGGAGCTCGGGGGCAACGATGCCAACATCGTCTGCGCTGATATCGAAGTGGACGAGGTAGCCGCCCGAGTGGCCCAGGGGTGCTTTTCCATGCGGGTCAGATGTGTGGCCATCAAGCGAGTCTACGTCCACTGCGACATCCTGCCGCAGTTCCGCTCCGCCTTCATCGCTGCAGTTCAAAAGATCGTCATCGACCGCGCGGCCGAGCACTCCCCGCTATCCAGCCCGCTGCAGAATCGCATGCAGTACCAAATTGTTCAAGACTTCCTCGCTGATAGCGCCAAACAAGCCCACACCTTCTCTGTGGGCGGCCCCGATCGCGACGAGGAACCGCTGCCGGGGCTGTACATTTCCCCAACCGCGGTGGACCGTCCGCCTCACAATGCCCGCATTGTCCGGGAAGAACATTTTGGGCCCAATATCCCCATTCTTGAGTGGTCCGACGAGGCCGAGCTCATCCGTCGCGTGAATGCCACCGAGAGCGGGTTGGGTGCCTGTGTTTGGGCGCTCGATATGGCGACGGCGAAGTGCATTGCACGCCAGCTGGAGGTCGGAACGGTATGGCTCAATAGTTTCGCGATCCCCCACCCCCATGGATACTTTTCAGGTTGGAAACAAAGTGGAATCGAAGGTGAATGGGGACGTCAGGGTCTGCTGTCATACTGCCATACTCAAACCCTATAGTTTTACAAGTGAAGTTGAGAAACCATCAGTCACTCACTTCGTTCCTTGTTCGACGCCGCGGCGGACGCCGCTGAAAAAATGCGGATATTGGAACCCCAAATTGAGGGCGTCATATTCGCCGAGTGTTCATTCAATTAGTATGACGATATTTAAGAAACCCCAAAAGAAAGGTTTTAAATTTCAACGAAATCCTATTCAGATATATCATCTTACGGTGTACCCATAGAATAGTCACATCAAAGCTTTATCTTTTTGTTAAAAATAGGCAGGCACCAATTTACTGGTTATGTTACCGTAACTTAACTTAGTTAGTTATGCCCCCGCCGCTTACTAAGTAGAAAGCGGCGCCCCCAAGTTAGCCTAGACCTAAAGCAGAAAAGGAAAGTGAATTGAATTCCCGTAGTGTTGGCCTGTCGGACTAAAGTACCTGTAGTACGTACAGTACACTGCCTTTCCACACCCTTTTCTTGGAGATCGTCATCATCACATTCAATCACCTTCTCCTCCCGCCTCCTCCCACTTTCAAATTTCCTACCTTCCTGCCTTGACTTTTGAGTCTTCCTTTCCTTAACTACAGTTCTTTTCACATATCATATCTTCCGCGCTATGCGCTAGGGTTCATACCTCACTCTTTCTTGTTTCTTTGATCGCTTCCCACTTCCAGACAACTGCTCCCTTACGGGTTAACTTGAAAGTCATGGCTGCCTCCGTTTTACCATTTCGCGACATCAATCTTCACGCTTCATCCACTCACTATGCCTTCACTTCTCCCTCGTCACCTAATGCCCCTACCCTTGTTGTCGAGCGTCCAACCGGTGACTTGCGTCTCACAAATGGCACCCTTTCTGGTGCGAAGCGTATCTCTAGTATCGCTGGTATACTGGGCATCATCAAGTTGAAACTAGGTATGGTCACCGTCGCGCTATAGTTCTTGAGGGCTTGTTACTGATTGTACTAGACAAATACATCATCGTCATCACCAAGGCTCAGCCCATGGGCAGGCTACGTGGCCACATGGTATACAAGGTTGCGGCGACCGAGTTCCTCCCCCTGCGCGAGCGCCCTCTACATGATTCCGATGAAGATACATATCTGGCACTGTTGAAGGAACACCTTCGTACTGGACCCATGTACTTCTCCTACGCCCTGGACATCACCAACAGCTTCCAGCGTCAATCACAGAGTGATCTTAGCCTGCCTATGTGGAAGCGAGCGGATGACCGCTTCTTCTGGAACCGCTTCATACAATCCGATTTGATCGACTTCAGCCTTGGAGAACATGACACGACTGGTGTGCGGCTCGGCCCACAGCCAGGTGTTGATCCGTATATCCTCCCCGTCATGTTCGGCATGTTACGGATAACCCCGGCAAAGGTCAAGTCAACGTCGTTCACATTTGCTCTTGTTACGCGGAGATCCAGATATCGTGGAGGCACAAGATATTTCTCACGTGGCATTGATGATCAAGGTCATGTCTCGAATTACAACGAGACCGAGCAAATTGTCATCCTGAATGACGCAACGGGTGGTCTTTCTGGTTTCGCTGGAGGTCAGTCTCTAGCGAAGGAGAAGTTAGGTGGCTCTGGCCAAGACCTCCAGGTAATGGCGTTTGTGCAAACCAGAGGCAGCGTTCCCGTGTATTGGGCCGAAGTCAACAATCTCAAGTATACACCGAAGCTTCAAGTCCGTGGGGTGGAGACTGCTGTTGATGCGGCCCGCAAGCACTTTTCCGAGCAGATCCGACTATATGGCGAAAATTACTTGGTTAACCTGGTGAATCACAAAGGTCGGGAAGAACGAGTCAAGAATGCTTACGAGCAGTTGGTCCGTATACTAGTGTCGTCCTCTACCGAACACACCGAGGCAGATGACGCAACATCGGAAAAGCTGCACGCTGTTGAGCCCGGTCTCAGACAAAACGAGATGGATAGATTACATTATATCTACTTCGACTTTCACAATGAGACGAAGGGACTCAAGTGGCATCGTGCAGAGCTGTTGCTAGATCGGTTGATGGACGGACTCACTCGGGGTGGCTATTTCCGGGGAGTGGAAGACCCTGGTGTCCCTGGTGGACAACTGGACGTCCGATCCTCGCAGACCAGCGTCGTCCGGACCAACTGCATGGACTGCCTTGATCGCACAAATGTGGTGCAGAGTATGCTAGGACGTTGGGCCATTACGCGTCAGCTCATCGATGCTGGAGTTTTACGCCCAGGAGAGGCTGCAAACGACGACCGTGAGTTCGAAAATCTCTTCCGCAATATCTGGGCCGACAACGCGGACGTGGTCTCAAAATCCTACTCTGGCACGGGCGCACTCAAAACCGATTTCACTCGCACAGGAGAGCGTACCCGCGCAGGCATGTTGCAGGATCTGAACAATTCTATTACACGCTATGTGCGAAACAACTTCTTGGACGGTCCCCGACAAGATGGCTTTGATGTGTTCCTGGGTGCCTATCTCCCTCCTGACTCTACACTGGGTAGCCTTCAGCTCTTCCTCGATCGCCGACCGCTCATCATCCAATCAATCCCATACATCTTTGCTGCTGGGGTTTTTATGATCCTGGTCTCAACCTTCACAAGACGCCTACCAGACTCCACTGTGTGGCCACTGCGCTTGTTCGTTATCTTCTGGCTTGTTGTCAGCGCCTGGTGTGCCCGATTTATACTTGCCCATGGGATGCTTTATGTAAGTCTTGGTGCTACACCTTCCAATGTGGTCTTCGGTACTAACGCAAGCACTCCAGGTAAATTGGCCAAAATTAAACACACCCGCAGCTGGCTCTGAAGGGTATCAAGATGCGCTTATCAAGGCTCGCACGGATCCGATCATCGGCCAGTGGCTTCCTGTCAGAAGACACCAGCGAGGCTACAGCAACGCAAGGCTGGTTTTTTTGGAGGAAGGAAAAACAAGGATCGAGTAGTCCCTGAATAGGCCTTTTATTGCACTACTTCTTGCGCTATATTTTATAGAATATTTACTTGTCTACCTTTCTTTAGTGTATATCTAGCCACACACGTCTTCTACCCGTTTACATCCACACCCTGCTTACACTTTTCCATGCTTCAATAACACCTTTCAGTTACACCTTGTCTCTGCCAAACTAGAATCATTACCAGCAACACTTAATTGTCAAGTTTGAAGTTTCCCATTGCACTTCTCACATGTAAGAATCAAGGTGTAAGATTGTTTCGTGGATAATGATTTGAGATGTCTATCTATTATTCACGTGACCTTATCGGGAGCCCGAACTCGGACCTACCGGCGCTTGATGACACTACTCCGACTGCGTGTAGGCAAGTACGGCGTTAAAAATAAGTCCCTCAATTAGTCGATGCGCAACAGCCCTCTTGCACGTGAGCAGTGACTGACTTGACCCTGATGAGGGGCTTTCGCAAACTTCCTACCTGCTTTCACTTTCATTTCACTCGCCATATATCATCCAGTTCCACCATTATGTCTCGCAATTATGAGGCAGGTTTCCCCGCAGGCATTTGTCCGCAAGCCACTGGGCGTCAAGTCTAACGATTCGGTGCAGGCTGCGATTGCAGCTCTGAACTCACTGCAAACCAATTTTGCAGTTGTGGAAGAGTTACGCAAGTCACGGAAAGATATGAACCTGTTGTCCATTCCAGAAACTGTTGAGTGGCTTCGTCGCATTGGATATCAGGTCCGCGTGCTCCCCCGCATTATGTTGTCAAGCTCCAGTGTTGACTCCGTTCCATTTTTGGTCCATAGCCCTCGGATCTAAGCTGTATCAATCCTGTACATGTCGCCGGCACGAAGGGCAAAGGCTCCACTTCGGCTTTTATCGCATCGATTCTGTCACAATACACTGCCTCGCAGCTATCTGACACGGACTCAACCTCGCGATCCCTCAATAAGGTCGGGCTCTACACCTCACCTCATTTGCGCTTTGCTAGAGAGCGTATCCAAATCGACAATGCACCGCTCTCGGAGGAGAAGTTTGCCAAATACTTTTTTGAAGTGTGGGATCGTTTGGAAGAAGCTGCTCGAGTAGCCGGCGAAGATCCTGCGAATCTTAGAACGAAACCTCAATACTTTCGGTACTTAACATTGATGGCATTCCACACTTACATCAGTGAAGGAGTCGATGCTGCGGTTATTGAATGTGGAATCGGCGGAGAGTACGACTGCACCAACGTGATTCAAAAGCCAGCTGCGACAGCCATTACCAGCCTGGGCATTGACCACGTTGCTATGTTGGGAAACACTATTGAGGAGATCGCATGGCATAAAGGTGGCATCATCAAATCTGGCACCAAAGCATTCAGCGCCCCTCAGCCTCCGTCTGCTGAGAAAGTCCTGCTCGAACGTGCTGCCGAGAAGGGAACCTCGCTGGAAATCGTGAGGGGCCACCCCGAGCTCAAGACCGATGGAGGCGTGAAACTCGGATTAGCTGGTGACTTCCAATATACAAATGCGGCAGTGGCAGTTGCAACAGCGGCTGAATTCCTTCGGACTGTCGGCATTGTGGAGGTGCCGTCAGACATCCTGCAGGAACCCTTACCAGCAAAATTCCGCAAGGGCCTGGAAGAGGCCCGTCTAGGCGGTCGTTGTGAGACACGCACTGAGAAGCGCATCACCTGGTACATCGACGGCGGCCACACACTTGAAAGTATTAGATTGGCTGGCCAATGGTTTGCATCTCAGATCCGGGCAAACTCTTCATCTGCTGCAGTTGCGCAAAAGAAGCAGCGGGTCTTGATCTTCAACCAACAGACCCGTGATAGCAATGCCCTGGCCCAGGCTCTTTACGAGACTTTGGCTGCGGCGTTGGGCTCGGAGCAACCATTTACTCACGCGATCTTCTGCACCAACGTCACCTACAAGGCTGCCGGTTATCGACCCGATCTTGTCAGCATGAACACAAATGCGACGGATGTGGAGAAACTGCATGTCCAGAACAGTCTTGCCGACACATGGCGGTCCATTGACCCTCGCACTGAAGTCAAGGTGTATAGCACCATTGAGGAAGCTGTCGACTTTACTCGGGAGCTCGCTATGAAAGAAAAGGACCTTGTAGGCCAGGATGAAGCTCCTGTAATGACATTCGTTACTGGTAGCTTGCACCTGGTTGGTGGCTTCTTGGATGTGATTGAGACCAAGCCTGCTCCCCAGTAAGACCTGCATTATGCCTGCCTCACCATGAGGTTTCAACAACAAAATTGGTGATACCCAGACAAAGCAATTATGCCTTGTTTATGCTCTATTGTTTGACTATTTTTATATTATGATTGATTTAGGAGGCGTTGTTTAGTTACAATTCAACAAGGAAGCTTAGATTCCCACATATATTAGGGAGGAGCAATTGACTAGAATTCACTGCGACAAAGTCATATAGTGAGTAAATACCGATGGGCGTACCTGTAGATATGCACCCCGCAAGCGCAACTTAGGGACGGACGGCTACTTTGTTAGATGAACGTGGGGCGGGCTTAGAAAACCTTCCCGCACCCACTTCTTGTCTGTTCGCGGTCTCCGATCCGACCATCGAACTTCCACGTGTTTCAAACCGCGCCAGCTGCCATGCCAGACTCCAAGGATAAGAAGGGCAAAGCCGCCCAGGCGTCCAATGATGAGGTCAGTTTTCCTCTTGATCCTAGCTAATCTACCGTCTCAACAACTCACCCGGATTGTCTTAGGATGCGGCGAAACAGAAGTTGACCCCCAAAGCGGCCGAGGCGCTGCTGGAGAATAACCCCGCCCTGAAGAACGAGCTGGCCGGACTCGACAAGGATAAGGCCGCGGAGGCCCTGCGCAAGATGGATATCTCCGAGCTCTTGACTGGTCTGGCTGTTGGAGGCAAGAACCAGAAAGATATGGCCTCGTACAAGTTTTGGCAGACCCAGCCTGTGCCTCGTTTCGATGAGGCCGCCGCTGCCGCCAACGATGTCGGTGGGCCGATCAAGATGATCGATCCAGAGAAAGTGTCGAAGACCCCCGATCCGCTCATCGAAGGCTTCGAGTGGGCTACACTGGACCTCACGAAGGAGGAAGAGCTCCAGGAGCTGTGGGATCTGCTCACCTACCACTATGTCGAGGACGACAATGCCATGTTCCGCTTCCGATACTCGAAATCATTTCTACACTGGTTCGTGCACTGTCCAACCCACGACTGGATGTATTGATACGGGAGGGCTGACGATATATTTCATATAGGGCGCTAATGGCACCGGGCTGGAAGAAGGAATGGCACGTCGGAGTTCGCGCTACCAAGTCGCGGAAGCTTGTCGCCGCTATCTCCGGTATCCCAACCGAGTTGCGCGTTCGCGAGCAGAAGATCAAGGTCACCGAGATCAACTTCCTCTGCATTCACAAGAAGCTGCGATCCAAGCGTCTTGCACCGGTTCTCATTAAAGAGATCACTCGCCGTTGTTATCTCGAGGGGATCTTCCAGGCCATCTATACCGCGGGTGTGGTGCTGCCAACTCCCGTCAGCTCATGCCGGTACTACCACCGTCCTTTGGACTGGCTTAAGCTGTATGAGGTCGGATTCTCGCATCTGCCCAAGGGCTCGACCAAGGCCCGACAGATTAGCAAGAACCACCTCCCGAGTGTCACGTCTACTCCTAACCTCCGCCCCATGGAAGTTAAGGATATTGATGCTGTCCACGAGCTCCTGGAACGCTACCTGAAGCGGTTTGACTTGAACCAGGCCTTCTCCCGCGAGGAGATCGAACACTGGCTCGTGCACAAAGGAGGGGAGGCCGACCGGGAACAGGTGGTTTGGTCTTACGTGGTGGAGGACCCGGAAACCCACAAGATTACCGACTTCTTCTCCTTCTACAACCTGGAATCTACCATCATTCAGCACCCCAAGCATGATTGCCTGCGCGTAGCTTACCTTTATTATTATGCCACCGAGACGGCCTTCACTGGTGATATGAAGGCGCTCAAGGAACGGCTCCTCATGCTCATGAATGATGCCCTGATCCTGGCGAAGAAGGTACGTCAAATTGTTGCTCGCTCGATATTATTTTCAAATACTGATATTCTCCACGATAGGCTCGTTTTGATGTGTTCAATGCTCTTACCCTCCACGACAACCCTCTCTTCCTGGAGCAGCTCAAGTTCGGGGCGGGCGACGGTCAGCTTCATTACTACCTCTATAATTACCGGACGGCCCCCATCGCCGGTGGTGTCAACGACAAGAACCTGCCGGATGAGAAGAGAATGGGAGGTGTCGGTGTTGTCATGCTGTAGAGTCCGGTACTCTCACATGTTTGTTTCGAAATACAGTACCAAATCAATGGGTGGTGTTCTGTGGCCGGATAAGCAAGCGGCTAGTCAAAGTCTAGTCAAAGTCAAAGTCAATTGTGACACGACGAATGTGAATACTATTAGTTCAATTTGAGATATATACTCTAGAGGGAGTACAAGCTTGATTCTTGAAGTATAGGAACCAGGAGCAGTATTTCTAGTACAAGTTATACACGGGACTGGTTAACCCAAAATGGCAACAACCCCTGCTGGCCGTGAGGGGCCGAGGCCCTTCAACTTAACTGGAACTTCAGGTTGTTGCTTTAGCCCGCATGCGGAAACATCCTTAATTAACCTACCTCTCCCTCCCCTCTCCCCTTCATCATCATCATCATCAACACCACACTTGCTCATGCCCCTGATCATGGTATAGCATCTGACAGACAATTTAAGTCTTTCGTCTATACATCCGTATTGATTCAAGTTCTACTTCCGCGTTCTTAGTCCCGCAGATGATAGCGATCGTCACCCCGACTCATCGCGGTGGGTTCACGTCGTCATCACTGCGGAGTGTCCCGAACTCATACTATCAGTGCTAATGCGACAGCTGTCTCTTAATTATCTTGCCTACTCCTGCAACCCTGGTACATTTCTGACACATGCCACCCCTTTTTCTTCTGTGACTATCGCAAAGAAGAAGCACAACCAATAACCTCTGCGTTATTACTCTTCAAGATGGGTGCATACCAGTCCGCTGAGTCTGCGGGTCATAAGTCATCTCCAGGTCAGTACTCCGTAGCGAACTAAACTATATTTACCTGCCCACCTTCTAATAATCCCCAGAGGAGCTGAGCTACGTGCTTGCCGAGCGCTTCGCCACAAAATGCTTCACCCCTTTGGAGCTCACTCACTTCAAGGACAACTTCTACAGCCGCGCAATTGAACAAGGCGGGGTCAAGTACTGGAATGAGAAGATACTCTCCGACTTCCTTGGCGTCCCAGATAGCAGCGACTCTCAATGTCCCCTCGACGCGGGTCCGGTGATCTTTCGCATGGTCTCGTACCTGGGAGCGTTCCCGTTTCAGAACACGCTGGCGCCGAGTGTACTCACATTCGATGCTATGGTGAAGGTCGTTGTTTTGCTCACTGAAAGATATGGGAAGGTACTCAGAAAGGCACGCAGAGATCGCATTAGGCTACTGTTTGGGAGCTTAGCAGATGTCGGGAGAAGAGATGAGGAAAAGTCGGCAAATATCGATGTGTCCCAAGGGGACGACGACGCACTGGGCGACACTGCATCGAAGTCCCATGCTCCCGGTTTCGCCATAGATGCTCCTGCTAACGACGGGTACGACGATGAAGAGGATGATGACCTGGCTCTGGCTGCCTTGGAATCACTCGACGCGATCGAGGTCTTCAAACATGATTCGCGCGTAGAGAGAGCGGTCTATGAAGCTCGAATCTCCGACAATACTTTTCGTCGCCTGCTTATGCTGCTGATTGTGATATCAGATCTGAAGACCACCGAGTCTGCAGCAGTTTACACCTCGAATCTGAGCGTGACTCGCATGGAGTCAATCCGGAAACAAACAGACAGCATTATGGCTGCCTTCCACCAGGAATCATCTGGAGGGATCAGGTACAAGTCTTTCGCAGAAAGCGTGGCCTCCTCATTACCGTACTTGTTTGACCCTTTGACACCGTTGTTTGAGCACTTCTTGTTCAGCAAGAACTTGGACCTGTCCCAGAAGCGCGATACGCCGGACTTGACAGAATCGAAATCTGATAAGCCCGCTTTGAACGAGTTGCAGTTGCACTCCTCGCCCTCGATTATGCTGGAGGGAAGTTTTGAATCAGTAATATTGAGCACGAGCATCATCTCACACCTCTCGTTCTTCCTTCCTTCTACATCCGAGGACCTGAACTTTCTTCGCGGCCATACGCGCTTACACCCTGTCTTTTCGACGGCCGCACATGGCTCCTCGCTCACATCCTTCTCGCACAACGTTCTCACTTGGTCATCGGGTACACTACTCCTTCTTGAGGGTGTATCTGAGACGAACAGCCCGATGATCCTCGGCGCATACTTACCACAACCCTGGAAGTCGCCCTCGTCAACTACCTCATCTTCCAAGTTCTCCAACTCAGTCCTCCCCTGTCTTTTCCAACTCTCCCCAAAACATATGCTTCTGCAAGGAAATTCTTCCCCTTCTGTACAAAAGCCAGACACCCCCACAGCCTACTTCTCCACAAGCTCGGGAATATCTATAGGGTGCCGTATTCCGCCCTCGTCACGAAGCAACCACAAGCCTCCCACTCCGCTCGGGGCAGGCAGTCTGACCATTGATGCCAATCTCGAGACAGCGACCTTTTACGTCCACCCTGTCGGCCACGACGGGTCGTTTCTTCCTCCAGTGTCTAGCATAGGGGCCGAAACCACTTACAAGACGAGCATAGACATCTATAACCTCGAGATCTGGGGTCTTGTCCCCGACCCGACGACCACCATCTCCGAGGACGGGAAAAGCGCAGTCGAGCTACAACAGGCGAAGTGGGACTTCGAAGCGCGCGAGGCGGAGCGGCGGCGCAATCTGAACCTCAAGGCTGGGGCGGGTGACTCGGCTGCTGAAAGTGCTCGCTGGCTGTTGGAGACTGCCGGAATCATTGGGGACAATAGTCGACGAGGCGGCTCACATGTGGTTTGATTGGTTATGATCGTGACACGTTCGCGGTTGTTTGAGATTGTATATGATGTTTGCGCAGAGAGATTCCTGCCGGGCACAAATTTGGATTTGGTCAAGCATTTTACACATAGCTTTATCTGTTGGCGCATATGGGAGGGTTTGATACGTTATTATTGCTTTGTTGATACCAGAGACGAGAATCAAATGAACTTGCTACAAAGAGTTTGGGAAAAGTTCTGCGACGGATGCACTGCACCGCGTAGTCATTGATGAATGGGGAATTATATAAAGCTTACATCTGATCTCTAATATACCACGAAGGGAGCAGTGACAGTGGCCAGCGCGGGCGGGGGGAGGGGGGGGGGGGCTGAAACAATTCAAGCCCCCAAAGGCGGAAGGCCCGTAGGCGGCCCATAGAAATCCAACAAC